ATTGTTCAATGATCCTTCCATTGTCCATCATTTCGACATATGTGCTTGGTGTGTGGTTTCTCAAACATATAAGAAGAAAAATGTATTGATTGACATTTTGGCATCGGCAAGAAACCATGATAGAGAAACAAACAAGGAAATGGAGGAAGAAAATTTGGCTGAAGAGCTTTACAAAAAATTAAAAGGAATGAGATACCTTATAGTCATGGATGATGTATGGGACACGGAACCGTGGGACGATTTGAAAAGATATTTTCCAGATGATGAAACAGGAAGTAGAATCTTATTCACATCTCGAAATAAAGAATTGGGCTTCAATGATGTTGTTAATGAACTTCCTTTCCTATCAGATGCTGAATGTTGGGAATTATTACGGTGGAAAGTGTTCCAGACAGAACGTTGCCCTCCAGAATTGCTAGAGATTGGTAAGCATATTGCCGCAAAATGTCGTGGTCTACCTCTGTCAGTCATTACAATATCTTCCATTCTTGCAAATATACAGAAGAAAGAGAGCTCATGGGGAAAAATAGCGGGACATTTAAATGAACACATATTTGACAGCACAAATAATTGCATCGACATACTGAAACTTAGTTACCAGCATTTACCAGCTCATCTGAAACCTTGTTTTCTATACTTTGGAGCATTTAAAGAAGACGAAGTAATCCCGGTACGGAAGTTGATATCTCTTTGGGTTGCCGAAGGGTTTATAAACAAAGAAAACCACGGGAGCTCAGAGGATGTGGCACACAATTATCTAATGGATCTAATTAATAGGGGTCTGGTACTAGTTGCTAAAAAAAGATCAAATGGTGGAGTCAAAACTTGCATGATTCATGATCTATTGCATGAGACGTGCTTGAGGATAGCTGAAGAAGTAAACTTTATGGGAGGGATCGAAAAGTAAGTTCTTTGTCTCTCTTCTTTCCTCATTCACTGTCTTCTATTTCTATCTAGATTATTAATAATGTAACTATATTTGATGGTCACACTAACGACGCTTTTGTTGCTATGATGATTGGATGTGATTTTGTTGTCACCACATTGGTTCTTCAGCGGATCTTCGAAGTATAAGAAAGATATGAGTATCTTGAAAATGCAGCGTCCTTGTTTCCCAAGACCATTTGATCCATATCTTCACTCTCAATTAGGCCGTAGGGTCATGGATTTGTCAGGACAATATCAGTCTTCGGTTCAAGTTGTAAGTGGAGGAATTGAAAACCTGGTTCACTTGAGGTACTTGGCAGTTAGTGAAAATATTGAACTGCCATTAATAGAAAAACTCCACAGACTAGAATATCTTGGAGTGGAGAACCATGGTGAAGTTGGAATACCTGAGTTCGTTCTTAACATGAAGAATTTGAAACATCTGCGTTTTCATGGTGGTGCACGCTTCAGTGAATCTTCTCATTTAAGAGCAACTACGGATGGGAGCTTCCAAATAAATAACCTACAATCCATTTCTACACTTCTTATTCATAATGAAATGTATGCAAAAGTTTTGGGATGTGCTCCCAATCTCCGCAAATTGACATGCAAGCTCGTGTCTCGATGTCC